TTTTCTCGTTTCAAAAAAGGTGAAATATTTATTGATGATAAACCTTGTTTTGGATGTTCATCAACTTCCCAAAAGGACGAAAATGTTGACAAAATATGTGCACTTGTGCTCAAAGACTGACAGTGCACCTTTGAAGAGATAAGGAAGTTATCTGGACTATCTTGGAGGTGGGTTTGCAAGAATTTTAACAGAAGATTTGAGAATGAGAAGGGTCACTGTAAAATTTGTGCCGTGGGTTCTGACTGTTCAGCACAAAGAGAGTCTAGTGGACACATGCCATGCTTTGAAAGAACAGCTCTAAAGTGACCCAGACTTTTTTCCGATGTCATTACTGGTGACGAGACATTGGGCTATTCTTATGGCCCTGAAAGCAAGCATCAATCAAGCTATTGGAAGGCACCATCTTCACCACGCCCAAAATAAGCTCGTCAAGTGAAATAAAATATCAAGATATTGCTCATTTTTTTGCTATCAGGGGGATAGGCCACTTGTAGTTTGTTCCACCAGGTCAGACTGTTAATCAAGCTTTCTATTTGTTGGTTCTCAAAAGATTGTGTTAACAGTGTGAAAAAAAAAGTGGCCTGATTTGTGGCAGATGAGGAACTGGTTTTGCCACCACAAGGATGCACCTACTGACTCAGCCATCTCAGTGTGCCAGCTTTTGCCAAAAAATAAAAATAAAACACCCCTGCATGCCTCTCTTACCTCACGTACCTTACTCACCTGACCTCACTCCATGCGACTTTTTTGTTTCCGCAAATGAAAAGGGATGTGAAAGTGATTTGACAACATAGAAGAGGTGAAGAAAAAAGTGAGGGAGGTGCTGTCAGCCATCCAAATGATGAGTTTGGAAAATGCTTCCAAGAGGAATCAGATTTGACAAATGTAGTAAATGTAATGAAGAGTATTATGAAGGTGATACAGTTTTGTAAAAATCTTTAAATACATAGCTTTGAAATTTTTTTCTGTTTTTTGGAGTACCCCCTCCTACATCTTGTGATAAGCTGCATTGTCTGGAGAAGCAAAACCAGTTGATCCCAACTTAGAGCAATCCTCTAGGACAGAGCACACTGCCACAGAGCTACCGAGCTTGTAATTGCTATAGAAGCAAACTGCCATGTCTTTGTTTCATGGAATGACTGGTGCATATGTACCACTGAGCTTTTGTTGAAAGCCAGGCACTTAACCACCAGGTGCCACCAGAGCTGCTTTTGCAGAAATAGGGAGACCCTTAATGAGATGGATTGACCCAAAACCCCAGTGAATGGCCACAACACACCAGTGACGATGAAGATGGCATAGAACTGGACAGTGTTTCATTCTGTGACTCAGAAGGTCACCATGAATTTGAGCTGACGTGACAGCAATAACATTGAGGAGGAGGATTTGGTTTGGTCTTTTTTTTAAATCATTTTACTGGCGGCTTTTACTAACCATAATATTATAACAATCCATACATCAGTTGTATCAAGCACCTTTGTGCATATGTTGCCATCATAATTTCCAAAGAGGGTTATTGGTCTTGAGAAAAATATGTTGACACACTTGTGCCCATTTCACAACCTCTGGTACTATGATCAGGAGGCCCCAAATTAATCAGCTCAACTAGACTTTGTGCCAGGCAATCAGATTTGCCTCATAGAAATAGCATTCTTAGGAATTAGAAGGCTTCTTCACCTTTAGTTTTCAAAGTAGTGTCAGAGAATGCCTTTATCTAGGTTTATATTTATAAATTCCAAAGATTTTGTGTGTGTTGATTTTGCTAAAATTAGCTTGATTAAATAGTACAAAACAGTAAAACTAACAAAAAACAAACAAAAAGTGCGTTGCCATTGACTCGATCGGATTTAAGACTGTAAATGTCTACGGGAGCAGACATTAAGTTTTTAACCCACGGAGTGGTTTAGTGGGTTTTGAACAGCCAACCTTGTGTTTCGCAGTTCAATGCTTGTCCCCTAGCATCATCAGGGTTTCTTAGTATAATAGTATTATACCACAATTTTTTTAAATTGCCAAAATATAAAAAGTTTTTTTAAGGTTATTATGGTTAACATTAATTTAACTTTATTAATATTTAACTTTTAGTTTATATGAATTGTTAGGCCTAACTATGCATTTAATCATGTTAAAATGTCGGCATTATACCATGTTTACACTAAGTTGTTGTTGGTTGAAGCCTGAAATCATCCAGCTATTTGACTGGCTCCAGGACTAATAGGAGAGCTGTTTGATTACTTGTTGTATCTGATGGTGAGGAAATTTTATATGCTTCCTTTCTCATTATTAAATTAGATTCCACCTTAAAGATGTTTTCTAAAGAATCCAAAATGTTACAGAGAAGTATATCATTTTCAAATATGGTGAGTTCATTTTAAATTTATCAACCTTTTTTGATATAAGTTCATCTAGCAATGTGTTTTGCACACAGACATACACATTTTATTTCTCCCAAACAATTTTGAGTTTATTTCTGTGAGTTAATTTCTACATATTATCTTCCTTTTTTAAACTTTCTTAAATTGTCTCTAAATTTAATAAGAATTTTTTTAGGTTGCCCTTTCCTTGTAAATACTTTCTATAAATACTGTAGATATTTTCCTTGTAGTTACTATAATGTAACATTTTTCAAAATTACATAGAGAGTTTTGCATGTGTTTCTTACATACCTAGTTTATAACTAAGGAGGATATTTGAATTCCTGAGGATCACTCCCAACAAGCAGCCCATCCCAGGGCAGTGAGGGCCATCCTGAGTCGCTGACAATGACTAGGCTAGATTTATTGGTACAAAATTTGACAAACTTTGACATTCTTTCCAATCTTTGAAAGGAAACTAAGCATGTAAATTGAGAAAACCTGGATAAATATGAGAAAGGCCAACATAAAGAGAATTTGAACTTATTTTTTTAGAAACTTATGAGATAGTTTTACTTTGTGTGTTAGGCCAGGTTGACCAGAGAAACAAATCCAGTAACACATTTATGTGTAAGAAAGAACTTTATATCAAGAAGTTACTACATATCAAGAAAACATCCCAGCCCAGTCCAATCAAGTCCATAAGCCCCTCTTCAGACTCACACAGCCACATGCAATGATGCAGAATGCAGGAATAGCACAAGCCAGTGGATGTCAAGTCTTGTGTATCCAATAGTGGTGACGGGGTTCTGGCAGCAATCAGGATCAGCCATCAGGAAGGAAAAGGGAGAGAGAGGAGGGAGGGATGGTTCCTAGAACCTCCTTATGAGAAGGCCATGCCCATAAGGAGGCACCAGCAGCTGTGACCTGATTGACAGGTTGAATAACAAACACCCCTTCACCTTTGTATATTATGTAACTGCCACACTTTGTTTAGACTTTACACTTGGAAATGACTAATGTTGAATTATTTGCATTTCAGGCTTTATCATCATGTTTGGTTTTACCAGGAGATGCCACTGTCATCAGTTCTTCATGGGATAATAACATGTATGTATCTGTGACGTGCTCCTTTGTCACATTCCACATGAGAGCCACTTTTGTTGATCCTTGATGCTAAAGGGCACAGTCTTCACTGCTGGAGATTGGTTTTTCTCTAAGGGAAACAAATATTAACTATAAGGAGCGTACTATTATATTGGAATTTAGTTATTTGAATCTAATTTCTCCAATTAGATTCAATTTTTTCCTTAAGTTTTAAAGTGAAAACAGATGGCTAGAATCTGGGAAGTTCTAGTTTTAAATTCAAATGTGAGTATTTGGCTTAAACACATGAATAAGTTATTTGTAATTCTAAAAGATCTTAATTACAGAACTAAAGTGTCATGTTTCTTAATCATGTCTTATAATTAAGCTTAACTCCTGTTTCAATAGTTCTTATTATTTTTTATCTTAGCTATTTTTATTCCATAGCATTTGGAAGACGCCAGGACACATTAGCGGGACATGATGATGCTGTTAGTAAAATCTGTTGGCATGACAACAGGCTATATTCTGCATCATGGGACTCGACAGTGAAGGTTTGTAAATAATTTGTAGCTTAGAAAGATTGCATGCATATTCATTCACCATTCTTTTGATATAGAACCTTTTCTTTGCATTTTTTGCAAAAGTTTCCTGCATAAATCACATCATATTCATCATCTTTGGTTTTCAACTTTTATTTATGTAAAAGAAAACAAAAATCTTAAATCCTTAGGATTCTTTCATTGGGCGCTTCCTGTCCTCTTGAGTGATTGCAGTTTCTTGGCCACTATGATTCTTGTCAGGTGCTGTCTTGTGGATTTCCACTTCCACCAACCCTGTGTATAAAGAATGAAAGCACAGCTGGTCTTGCGCCATTCTCACAGTTGTTATATTTGAGCCCAGAGTTGCAGCCACGGTGTCAGTCCATCTCCTTGAAGGTCCTGCTCTTTTTCACTGACCCTGTTACACAAAATAGGGCGTCCTTCTGCAGGGCCTGCTCTCTCCCAGGAGCTCTGGTGGCACAGTGAGTTACAACTTGAGGGCTCACCACAAGATTGGTGGTTCAAACCCACCAGTTGCCTTGTGGGAGAATGTGAAGATTTCTGCCCCTGTAAAGATTTACAGCCTAGGAAAACCACAGGAGCAATTCTACTCTGGCTTATAAGGTCCTATGACTCAATGGCGTTGTTTGTTTGGTCTCTCCTGATAACATATTCAAAATATGTGAGACAAAGTCTCACGTAAATTTATTTTATTTTTTCTATGACTTACCATGTCAAGTCTTCTTAAGCTACTTTTATTTCCTTGGTTCACACAATGAATCACATAATTACAAGAGCACATGAAACTGACTTAAACAGATTTGGGTACAAGCAATTAACCTAGGCTAGTGGGTGTAAAAGTCCAAGTACTATGGAGAAGGTGCTAAGCACATTGCTCAATTTAATTTGGTGGGCAAGTATGCTATATGGAGTTATAATAGGGTCTTTTTTATACAAATCAAATACTTTTATGGTAATGTATGAAAATGACCTCTGCAATGTGCCCCACCCTAGGTGTGGTCTGGCATCCCTGCAGAGGTGCCAGGCACCAGAAGGCACCACTTTGACTTGCTTGCTGAGCTGGAGCATGATGTCAGTGTAAGTATGCACACGTTCCACCTGATGGACGAAGCTAGGAAGTCCTGGTGGGGAGGATGGTATCTCTTGGTTTTGTGTGTGTATATGGTATATACTTGTGTATAAGCCGAGTTTTTCAGCACATTTTTAATGCAGTTTTTTGTGGTAAAACTGGGTGCCTCAGCTGATATCTGGGTTGGCTTATACTCAAGTATATGTTAGGTCTTCTTTTTATCTTTGTTTTGATATTTGGAGATCAGTTAAATCTCAGTCCTTTTCTTTGGCTCCTTGGATTTCTAAGTCTATATTGTTTTTCTTTCCTTCTATTTGTATCTTTGTACATTTCCATGATAATTTACTCTCATCCAACTTGACTTCTAAAATATCAGTTTCTAAGCATGGCAGAGAGAAGTTCTGATAATGCAGTTATTTAAACATTGGGTTGCTAGCCACAAGGTTGGTGGTTCAACCCACCAGCAGCTCCATGGGAAAAATATGGACTGCCTGTGTCTGTTCCTATAAATATTTACAGTCCAGGAACCCTAAGGGGCAATGCTACTGTCTTATAGATCGATGGCATTGAATATCACTGCCATTGTGTCAATTTTGACTCATGGTGACCCTGTAGGGCATCGTGGAACTGACCCTGTGGGCTTCCGAGACTAACTCTTTACAAGAGTAGAAAGCATCATCTTTCTCCCACAGAACAGTTGGTGTTTTTGAACTGCTGACCAAGAGTTTTACAAGTGACCATAATCATTACGCCACCAGTAACACTGAATATTTGGATACCCTAAAACTATTGAGGGTACTGTGTTCGTCTGGGTTGACTAAAGAAATAAATTCATATACACTCATCTGTGCTTAAGAAAGCACTTTACAGTGAACCCTCATTTATCGCAGTTAATCGGTTCTAGACCCTACCGTGATAAATGAAATTCCGCGAAGTAGGATTCCTTATTTGTAAATCAAATATTTTCGTAGTTAGAGCATATAGGACATGAAAAAACATCCTTTAGTCACCATTACACTCGTATTACCCAATTTATTAAACGAAAAAGGGAAAATACAGTAAAACATTTTGGACATTACAATTATCATTTATTATTTATTATATTATTTATGGCATCTAGTTTACAGTATTACATATTTCACATACAGTATTATTATACATAGTTCTTACAAATACTGTAATCAGTAGCCTATGAAATGACTTAAGGGATGTACTCTACAGGTGGGTCGCCGTCTTTTGCCTCTGAAAGAGCGGGTGTAGGCAGTGGGTGCTGTTACGCAAAAACCGCGATAGAGTGAAGCCGCGGAAGTCGAAGCGCGAAGTGGCAAGGATTCACTGTATATAAAAAAAGCCATTGTGTATTGAGAGAACATCCCAACCCAGTCCAGATCGAGTTCCTAGGTCCGATACTAGTCCATAAGTTCCTCTTTAGACTCACACAGCACATGCAATGATGCCAAACGCAGGAAGATCATAGGCCAGTGGGTAGAAGGCCTTGTGGATCTAGTGGCCGTGGAAGCATCTCAGCACTGGCCCGGGTCTTCTCCAGCTCTCTGAGTGTCTCAACAGCAGGAAAGGGAAGGCAGAGAGCGTGAGTCTGGCCTCCGATGAGCTATTTATCTCTGTCGCACCTCCAAATGAGGACAAGCTGCGACCTGATTGACAGTCTAGACACCACCTCTTTGCTCAAGTTGACAGGAGATTATGTAACTGTCACAGGCACCCAGGTGTGATTCACCATCTTTCATGTTCTCTGAAGTGGAAGATAGAAGGGACAGTTTTTCTCTATTGATATACGAAGACACCGATGCCCCAGCTAGTGGGTTCCGGAATGTGCAGCCTGAGATGGCCGTCTTCGTTTTCACCGGCTCACATTCCTATATCTTAGGTTGTATTTTTGCTGAAGGTTTTTATACCAAAGTCTTGAATTGATGTCTAATCTCTATAGCCTACAGACTAACCAAGGTTAAGAGATACAAGGGGCCTTCAAAACGTGCGTGGAAATTTTTCATTTATCTTCTAATTCCATTTTCTATGATGTTTTTGAGGCCTCCTTTTTAAAACTTTTTTTTTTTGCTTCCCCAATCCCAGATAATCATTAACAATTCATTGCTGTGCTTCAAAGAGTATGACACTAAGAAAATGACATTCATTTTTGTGAGCCCAGGCTATCTGAAGACAATATTTACTTCAGCAATATTTAATTTTCATTTATACTTCTATTTGGCACCAAGAACCTAATATTTTAAATCATCATTCAGTAGGATAATGGTGAAATGATCTGTGTTAACTGCCTGTATGATGGACAACAGACTTTAATGAATGTATATCACTATTTGAATTACATACATGAATCAGCCACATAATGAATGAATGTAATTCTAAACGGAACATTTTATGAGTGTATTTTCTTTCTTAGGTAGATACAATCAGTTTAAATGCTACAAGCACACTCTTGGTTTCTGGTACCAAAGAAGGCACTGTAAGTATTTGGGACCTTACTACTGCCACCATGTTGCATCAGATACCATGCCACTCAGGGACTGTGTGTGATGCTGCTTTTAGCCCAGGTATGTCATGACTTTTTTTTTTATCATTTTATTGGGGGCTCTTCCAGTTCTTGTCACAATCCATACATTCATCCATTGTGTATTAGTTTTTTAAATACAGATAATACTGGGTGAGTTGGAAATGTCATTTTAAAATTAAAAAAAAATTTTTAGAAAAGTATTTTGCTGATGACATTTTTTCAATAGGTAAAGGTGCTTCATGCATTATACTGGTGACATTGTACCTACTAGAAATGCAATAGTGGGTATTATTCTTAATCCCCTAACTCACTGAAGTTAATTTTTAAGATATAACTGAATGCATGTAGGAGCCCTGGTGGCATAGTGGGTTGCATAGGCTGCTAAACTGCAAGGTCAGCAGCTCAAAGCTACCAGAGGCTCCATGGGAAAAGATGGTCTTCAAAGATCTGTCGTCTCAAACTCGCATGGGGCAGTCTTACCTGTAGGTCAGAATGAATTGGAATTGACTCCTTGGGAGTGAGTTTGGGGTTTTGTTTTGTTTTTATTGAATGGATAGCCTTTAAAGTGCCATCCAGCACCCTAGGAACAGCAAAGCATATCAAGCCAAGGAGCTCAAGGACAATGAAATCCGAGATTAGGCCATTGTGGTTGAAATAAAATCTCAGAATAACTATTTTTCAATATCATGTTTTCCATGTCAGATAGCCGCCACGTCCTCAGCACAGGAGGAGACGGCTGTTTGAATGTCATAGATGTACAGACTGGAATGCTCATCTCATCTCTGGCTTCTGAGGGGCCACAGAGGTATAGTCCCTGCATTCTAGTGTTGAAGCCATTTACAAACAGGACTGTGAACATTTCATGCTGAAAGGACTATTTCTAAATCGTTCTTACAGGTGTTTTATCTGGGATGGAAATTCAGTTTTATCTGGAAGTCAGTCTGGTGAACTGCTCGTTTGGGATCTCCTTGCAGCAAAAATCAGCGAGAGAATTCAGGGCCACACAGGTACCCATCCTCTTCCATCAGGGAACACAATGATCTTCTCAGACACATGTCTGCATGCAGTCACTGCTGGTGTCTACAGCACAGATCTGTCAGGACTTAGGTCAATTTTCATGTGGACAGATACATTAACATAAAAATGGGAAATTAGAAACTAAAGTAAAAGTTGTAATATTTAATTTTTTAAAAGATAGTACACATACAGGGTAAAAGCAGAAATAAATAAAACTTAATCAACCCATCAGTTTCTTTCCAATCCAACCCCTATTTCCTGTTCTTATTCCAGGATAGCTAGTGATGTGAGCATTTCTTCATGTGTTTATCATCCATTCGATGCCTTCTCTGGTAAAATCTGTGGTCATGTCTTTTGCTCCTTTTTATTGGATTCTTTTATTATTGAGGTGTAGCATGGTTCTGTAGCGTTTCATGATTATTCCCTTGTCTGTTGCGTTGCTAAAGATTTTTTACCAATCATTGGATTCTTGTTTTACTCTTTTGGATTCTTTTGATATGCATAATTGATGCATTTGAATTGTGCTGGTGCAGAATATTGAAAGTACCAAATAGTTATTAGTTTTGCCATTTCTTTAAAGAATGATGTCATTTGGATCAGAATCGTATTGTTTGTAGATTGCTTTCATTAGTATTAATATGTCCACAATTTTGTCTTCCTATCCATGAAAACTGGTAGTCTTCCATTTGTGTTCGTCTCTTTAATTTCTTGTAACTGTGTTCTGTAGTTTTCTTTATACAGGTCTTTTGTTTCTTTGTTTTGATTTATTCCTAAATATTTTACCTTTTGTGTGGCTATTGTAAATCATATTGTTTTCTTCATGTATTTTTTAAGAGCCTTCCTACTTGGCGTACAAGAATCCAATTGGCTTCTGCTTGTTAATCTTGTATCCTGCTGCTTTATGAAATCCCTTAAACATTTCAAACCACTTTTCTGGGGTCCTTGCTACATAAAATCTGTTGTTTGCAAATAGCAAGTTCACTCTTTGCCCAATTGTATTCCCTTGATTTCTTTCTGTTGTCTAATGATTCTGGCTAAGATTTCTAGCATGATGTTGATAAGAGTGATGATAAGGGCTTCCTTGTCTAGTTCCCATCTTCAGGGGAAATGTTTTCAGTTTTTCCCTGTTGAGTGTGATGTTGCTTGTTGATTTTTCTTACATGCATTTATTTTGTTGAGGAATTTACCTTCTGTTCCTTTATTTTTTTTTATCAGAAATGGATGTTGGATATTGTTGAATACCTTTTCTACATTTATTGATATAACTATGTGGGTCTCATTCTCTGTCTTGTTTATATGGTAGATTACATTGTTTTTTTTAATGTTGGACCACCCTTGCATTCCTAGTTTGAATCCCACTTCATCAAGGTGAATTGGTTTTTTGGTATATGTTGGACTCTATTGGCCAAATGTGTATGAACAATTTTTACATCTATGTTCATGAGGGATCTTGGTGTGTAGTTTTCAGTCTTTGTGAGGTCATTGCCTTGTTTTGGTATCCGGGTTATGATAACTTACAGAATGAATTGGGAAGTTTGCTGTGTTTCTATATTCTGGCATACCTTGGGCTGAATTGATGACAGTTCTTCAATGGACGTTTGGTAAACTTGCCCTGTAAAGCCATCTGGTCCTGGGCGTTTACTGGTTGGAAATTTCAGGATGACTCTGTTCTTTTGTTATGAGTCTTGTTGAGGTTTTCTACTTGCATCTGAGTTCATTTGTGTAGAGGTGTATCTATCAGTATTTGTCCATTTGTTCTAGGTCATAAATAAACTTGTTGGAGTACAGCTTGTCTTAGTAGTTGTTATGATTTATTTCAATTGAATTTATTGTGATGTCCTTTTCATCTCTAATTCTAGATATTTGCATCTTCTTTTTTACCCTTTGTTAATTTTGCCAGGTTTGTCAATTTTACTGACCTTTTCAAGAAAGCAACTTCTTGTTCTTTTTATTTCATTTGTTTATTTCTACTTGAATCTTGGTGATTTCTTAAGTTGGTGGAAGGTTCATGTTGTTGCCTTTGTTCTAGGTGGTGGTGGTGTTAAGGTGTTGATTTAGACTTTCTCTTTTTTCATATGTGCACAGTAAATTGCCTCTGTTAACTGCTTTAACTGTGTCCCAAAGGTTTTGTTTGATATGTTGGGTTCTTGTTTTCCTGTGCTTAATTTCATCCCTTATTTGGTCATTTACCCAATCAATATTAAGTAGTGTGTTGTCCGGTCTCCATGTGTTCTTGTTCATATTGGTTCATATTAGAGTATTGTGATCTGAGAATTTTCACAATTGAATATTAGTATCTCAATGTATTTTGTTAAGGCTTGCTTTGTGGCCTAGTATGTGGTCATTTTTAAAGTATGTCCTATGTGCCCGGAAGACCTGTGTTGTCAGAGTGCTCTGCATGTAAGTAGGAGGTAGAGCTGTTTGATTGTATGATATAGCTCATCTTGTTAATGAATTTCTCACCTGATGTTCTTCGTGGAGAGTCATCTATTGAAATGTACTATTATTGTTGTTGATTTCTCCAACACTGTCTGAGGATTTGGTGATGTAGTTTGAAGGTCTTTCATTGGGTTTTCTGTTCCCAGTGTATTGGTCCTGTAACTGACATGTAGTGGCCAGTCTTGTCTCTCATATTATTTGCCTTGAAGCCTATTTTGTCAGAGATTAATTTTGCCATTCCTGCCTTTTAACAGTAGCCATTGGCTTGGTAATTTTTTCCTCCATCCTTTGGTTTTTTTAGTTTACTTTTCACCCCAGTTTTTTTCTTATTCTTTTTAGTTTATTTCTATCTTTAAGCTTAAATTGTGTCCTTTAGGCAGCCTAGAGATAGGTCCTGGCTTCTAATCCAGTGTGTCTTGATTGGTGCATTTAGTCCATTAATACTCGGTGCTATTGTTATTAGTGGGGCTGCTGCTCTCATTTTTCTGTTTGGTTTCTTTTCTGTGTGTGGTGTATGTGCTTGCTTATTGCTCTTTGCTCCTCCACTACTTGTGTGCTGTTTGGAGTGCTATTTTCATTGTGTTGCTTTCTGAGTGTTATTGCCCTGTGTGATGCTCTCAGGTTTATCCACTTGTTGTTGTACTGTCCACAGTGATCCAGTTAATATTTTTTATAATGTTGGTCTTATTTTACCAATTTCTTCAGATTTTCCTTATTTGGAAATACCTTTATTTCTGTCTCGTATTAAGGGATACTTTTGCTGCATATAGTATTCTTAGCCACTACTTGTCTGTCAAGTTTGTTGTACTGTGGTGGCCTGTGTGTTTTTGTGATGCTGAAGGCTATGTGACTGGTATTTCAAATAGCTTAAAGTGAGGACTTGAAGCACTTGCAGATGAAGATCAATCATTGTAGCCTTCAATATCAATTACAACTCATTGTAAAAAAAAAAACAAAAATTCTCACAAATGGACCAAGAGATAATAACATCACGATAAAGATTGAAGGTGTCAAGTATTTCATCTTGCCTGGATCCACAATCAGTGTTCATGGAAACAGGAGTCGAGAGAGCAAGGGAGGCATTGCATGGGTAAATCTGCTGTATAAGACCTTTTCAAGCTGCTGAAAAGCAAGGATGTTAACTTTGAGGATTAAAGTGCACCTGACTCAAGCCATGTTATTTTCAGTTGCCTAAAGGCATGTGAAAGTTAGACACTGATTAAGGAAGACCAAAGAAAATCGATGCATTTGAACTACTGTGTTGGCCAAGAATATTTAAAGTACCAAGGATTTCAAAAGAACAAATTTTTCTTGTTAGATGGCATTGCCAGAATGCTCCTTAGGGGCAAGGATGGCAAGACTGCATCTCATGTATTTTGGGCAAGTTAAGAGGAGCGACCAGTCCCTGGAGAAGGACATCATGCGTAGTAAAACAGAAGGGAACAACAGTGGAGGAAAGCCCCTGCAAGATGGACTGGCACAGTGGCTCTAACCATGGGCTCAAACATAAAAACAATTGTCAGGCTAGTGCAGGACCAGATGGTGTTTCATTCTGTTGTGTTCAGGTCACTAAGTTTGAATCTGCTCAGTGGTAACCAACAATAGCAATCTTGGTTGGTAGTATTTTTCCTTCAAAGTTTGTTTTATTTTGCATATTTTGCTCCATTGCCTTGTCTGAAGTTTCTGCTAAAAAGTCTGAGCTTACTTTATTGGTTTTCCTTGGTAGGTGACTGTTCTTTTACTCGAGCTGCCATCGGGATTCTCTCCTTTGCCTTGAAGGTGCAATTTGACTACAATATTTCTCCGTGGGTTTCTTCTGAGGTCTACCTATTGTGGGTTCTCTCCGCTTCTGGCACAGTATTTTCTCCTCTGGGATGTTGGAGAAATATTCTCATAGTCTTTTTTCTGTAGATTTTTTGGTTTCTTGTTGCTCCAGGATTCCAAATAAATAAAGCCTTTCTCTCGCGATAGTGCCCCATGTCATTCTCAGGCTTTCTTCTGATTCTTTCGCCTTTTGGTTGATTGTTTCTCTCGTTGGCTGTATTCAGAGTGGTTGTGTTTGAGTTCATTGATTGGATCTCCCTTCATTTGCATTCTATTTCTCAAATCTTATACCATGTTGTCTCATTTATCTTCTGGGATTCCTTGTGTGAAGGTTTTAGTTTTTAATGTCTTCTGTTGTTTTCATGAGTGTTCCCGGTATGTCTTAAGGTTCTTATATACTATTTGGTTGAATTTTATTTCCAGTTGCAGGGCATCTTTTTTGTTTCCCAATTGGGGTTAGGTGTTTTTTGTTTTTCATTTGTAAGCAGGAAATCATATGGAGGTGTTAAGAAAAAGGGAGATGCATAAGTGGGAGAGTTGCAGGGAAGAGAGGGCCCTGTAAGCTGTAAGTACTGGAGGTCCTTCTGGAGGAGACCTCAACTAGGAGGTGTAGGGGTAGGGGAGGGGAGTGGAAGCCGATAACCAACCCAGAAGGGGGTGGGGGTGGTGTGTGTGTGTTGTGTGTGTCTGAAATAGGGAGGAGACAGGAGGGAAAAGGAAGAGTGGAGTCGGAGAAAGACCAGGGGAGAGGAAAACGGGCAGAGCGACAGAAGGGGCTGGGTTGGAGTGCCTAAGGAGTTGTGTTGCTATGCTAGTATGAAAATGGGTGGGTCTGTACCCTTAGGGTCCAAGGTTTGACTGTCTCAGTATGCTGCTTATTTGCCAGAGGACGGGGGCTGCTCAGAGAGGATGTGACAGTTCAAGAGAGAATACAGGCTGGATTAAAGTAAAAGGAGAATGTGGCACTTGAGAAGTAAAAAATACACGCTGTTTCGGTGTGGATTGCTGCTGCTTGTGCTCGGATGGTTTATCAGGTTGTCTGGGTAGGACAGTATAGGCAGGTGTGGTGAAGGGGAGAGGGGCACTGAGGTAAAGAAGGTTAAGGAAACCTAAAATAATGGACAAAAAATGTTTGCTTGGGTTGTGAGGAAGTCTGCACAGGGCTCCCAGTGACTGGGGGAGTGAAGGGTTTGGCTGGGTGGGGAGGGACAGGTTTTAAGACTGGTCTGATTTTGTTGGGAGAGGGATGTGCTCTGAAGTAACTTGGACCTCTTTTGAGTGTAAGAAGGCAGTATTCCGGAATTTTAACTTGAAAGAAAGGAGTCTGGCTGGGTGGGTATGGTTTGCCTGTGCTGGGGAGGCTGCAGGGAGGTGGGATCCTGTAAAGAAAGGATTTTGGAATTAAAAAGGGATATAGATTAATTCATAGTGAAATAAGAGTGCAAAGCCCTAGAAACAAAACATAAGCCTATTTTGAGTCGGTATGGCTACTTCCTTGGTGGGACCAGCACTTGAAGATTCACCTGTCAAGTGTGGCCAGGAGGTGTGGGGAGGCAGTAAAGGAAGACTAAGAAAAGTTGACGAAACGCCAACAGTCGTTTCTTGGGTTATGAGAAATCCCGCGCCAGGTTGCCTGCATGGTCTTTCCTCCGTGTAGGGCTCCAGAGACCAGTGAGGTGAGGGGCATGGTTATGTGCTTTAGGGTGGGGGTTAGGTCATCCCACAATCATGGAGGGAAGTCAGAAAAACAATGTGACCCTGATCTCCTTATTTTTTAAGAGACAAAAAAACTTGGTGCACTTATCTTTCAAGCTGACTCTGGTTTCAAGAAGCAAGAGCCTGGTGAGACCTCTCTGGGACTCGCGGCAGAGGAGTTACTCCCATGCTTGCTACCAGGGCCATGCTCCTTTCTAGAAGAGATTCTAGTATCTACTTTTACCTACTGACGTCCCACTGTGCACAGTGATTTCTTTCCAACCTGAATGCTCTGCTTTCGATTGTGTATACATATATGAAATTTTTAAAAAATCATCTGTATCATCTTTCAAAGTAATTAGATTCATTCCCCCAGCCAGGTCCTAACTATTCTGCATCCGTATTTCCCAGTTGTTGTAACAGCTAAGTGGTTTCTTATTCCACTTTGTGGACTCATTTCAATTTTTATGTAAATTAATTGCAATTAAGTTTGTCTTTGGGGCTTTCTTGTCAACTCACCACTGAACCAAAACATCTTTCTCTTAGGTCCTGTGACCTGTATATGGATGAACGAACAGTGCAGCAGCCTCATCACAGGAGGGGATGACAGACAAATTATGTTCTGGAAATTGCAGTATTAAGTGCCTTGTTAGCTCCTGGATATACAGAATTATATTTAGTGTGCTTTTAAATCGACTGGTGGATGTGTAATGATAGCACTTGGAAGTTTCGCCACATGTAAAATGTGTGGTTTTAAACTTTCTAAATTCTGACTTCCTTGAAAGGCATTAGCTGCCATCTTCTAAGACAGATAAAAGCGCGGCAATATTTGGAAGAAAATGTTACCTTATCTGTACAGTAGGGAATCATCCTACTAGGATACTCATCAGAAACAGCTTTGGGGACAGGAGCTAGAAGAGACTGAACGGGGACTGGGAAACGTACCACAAGGCATGCACAGCTACAGTTTTCCAAGAAACCACAACACTCTCTGCTACTTGAGTCTCCTGTCTCCCGTCGACAATTGCTAGCCAATTGTAATTCATTTTCTTCACTGCTTGGCTGGTTACTATCTAACCTGCTGTACCCAGATTCTAAGAAGCTGGGGAAGGATTAGCAGTTCTTTCAATGTGCATTGGAATGGTTTCTATTTCATTATGGCTATTAAATGCTCATCTTTTCTACAATAAAATTATTTTTATGTAATGAAAGCATTTTTCATTGTCTTATGTAAATGACTCACTGCAAAGAAAAGTAGCCTGAAAGAACCCCCGGTACTGATCTGCTCTAGAAGACCAAGCTCACGGAGTACAGCCCTTGTACCTCTAGAACCCTCTTCTGACTCAGAATTGGAAATGTGTTTTGCTTTTTAAATTTCAAACGAGGTTAGCTATAAGGCAATAGTTCTGATTACCTCAGATAATCAACTTCTGAAACGCAAAATATTTTTATACTCGTTGAAAACACTGTACGATACAGCACAGTAATTTCCAGTGTTAGTTTTAAATGCCATGAAACATGACACAGTTGCCTCACTGCACTCCTGCTGCTTGGCTCGCAGGGTCCTTCGCCAGCTCGACTGGTCCTTTAATCCCATAGGCTGGAGGTCCAAGTTTGCAGCCCCCTTCCAGATACAGGTACCACCAACACCAGGCTTTCCTCGGTAATTCTTACTGCCACCTGCTTTGGCAGATAAGTATAGTAACAAGGTAAATGTCACATTCCCTATTTCTAAAATCATGTACAAACTGGGTAGAAGACACTGACAGTTTCCCAATGAGAGACATTAAGAGTTTGAAACTTTGATACATATTTAATTAAAATAGAATAAGCATAAAACAAAAAGTATCAAGATAGTGTTAGTGCCTTTTTGTTGGCAGAGAAGAGTCAACAAATGACCAAGAAGACATTTGAAGATAATTTCAAAGTAGCTTGGTTATATAATGCCATAATTAGTTATTATCTCACTTAATCTACAAATGAAATGCAGGCGTAAAAAGTTCATCCTGTTTAGTATAAGAATTTTTACATTAAATATATAGCAATCCATTTTTCCAGAAAAGTGATAGCCGTAAATATAGAAAGACGATTTCCATTATGCAATTTTACTAGAAAAATCTCAAATACAACTAAATAGCTATGCAATAGCTCATAAGTACCATTAAATTGTTCTAAGTTAGTATACATTTCTGCTTAATATGGAACTACATCTTGGATTTTCAAAAGGCAGCAATAATTGTATTTTGGCTTCTATTGATGCTTAACACAGTTAAGCAGACAGTTCAAGCATATTAAGTGAAGGTGGTTAAAACTAAATGATAATCACAATCTCTTGGGTTTACATATGCTAATGCTTACATGGAATAAAATGAATGTCACTTAATTGGTGTTTATACACACACAACTAAAAATCAAAGGTAACCATTCTAATTGTAATCAAGCAACACATTAAAATACAAATATACCATAGAAATGAAGTAGTATGATCAGTTCTCCGATCTTGAAGAAAAGTGGCTAACAAAGCTAAGCCTGCAGCAGTTACCTTAATCATAATGGCTTACAGAAGCATCACGTTTCCAGTAGAGAAACGAATTTATGCAAGTCAGTACGTCTTCTGAAAGTTTCACATCTGTAAAACCAGGATAAGGCTACAACTATCTTGAAGTGTGAACAAGATACAGGTTAAGAGGGTAAATTTCCCAGCCATATATAAGGGAGAAAGGCAGGTCCTCATGCAGCATTTGCTTGGCTCCTGGAAAGCTGCTTGTGCATAATACAGAGTCGTCAGAGAAGTGAACTGGAGAAGTTGAGGTACATTTTCATTATGACTTGACTTTTACACTTCAGGAATGGAATGATCCATCAGGCTTTTCATGATGCTCGGTGCCATCCTGTAAGAGTTGAATCACTTTCATTACCTACTGAGGCCTTTTTTTTCTTTAAAACGTTGTATTAGACCAAGAAAATGTTAATTTAAACTAATACCTGTTAGCAGCAAGGGAGATTGGTCAGGGGTGGGAAGGAGTGCAGATAATCTAGTTGTTTGAAAACACCTGGTGTGAAAGGTCACACTAGAGACATACAGCGCTGTTTCTGAATCCTGGGCTAGAAAAGTTGGACAATAGGACACATATTAAAGCTGAAGACACTCCCTGATACGATCGCTGAAGACAAATGGATACATAAGCAAATGTGGTGAAGAAAGCTGATGGTGCCCAGCTATCAAAAGATACAGCGTCTATGGTCTTAAAGGCTTGAAGGTAAACAAGTGGCCATCTAGCTCAGAAGCAACAAAGCCCACATGGAAGAAGCACAACAGCCTGTGTGATCACAAGGTGTCGAAGGGATCAGGTATCAGGCATCATCAGAACAAAAAATCATATCAGTGAATGGGGGGCGGGGAGTACGGAGTGGAGACCCAAAGCCCATTTGTAGGCCACTGGACATCCCCTTATAGAAGGGTCTGGGGAGGAGATAGCCGTCTGGGTGCAGTGTAACAACGATGAAACAAAACTTTCCTCTAGTTCCTAAATGCTTCCCCTCCCCCACTAACATCCTAGTCCTACCTTACAAATCTGGCTAGACCAGAGAATGTACACTGGTACATTCCAGATAGGAACTGGAAACTGGGAATCTAGAGCAGATGATCCCTTCAGGACCAGTGGTATGCGTGGAGATACAGGGAGGGTGAGTTGAAAAGGAGGAACCGGTTACAAATATCTACATGTGACCGCCTCCCTGGGGAACGGACAATAGAAAAGTGGGTGAAGGGAGACATCGGACAGGGCAAGATGACAAAATAATTTATAATTTATAAATTATCAAGGGTTCATGAGGGAGAAGGGAGCGGGGAGGGAGGGGGAAAATGAGCTAATACCAAGGGCTCAAGCAGAAAGCAAATGTTTTGAGAATGATTATGGCAACAAATGTACAAATGTGCTTTACACAATTGATGTATATATGGATTATGATAAGAGTTGTATGAGTCCCTAATAAAACGATTAAAAAAACCTTGAAGATAATGATAAAAGATGATTTTGGAGGAGTTGCGGTAAGGGAAGCAAGAGGAAATCCTCACACAAGGCTGAGACAAGTTGGGAGAGGGGACCCTATTAATGGTTTATGGAAAGAGCTCTAGACACTAATTTCTTCACCCCTTCCCTGCCCGCCTCCAATATTTCAACTTCAGCTTCATACATTACCCTAAAGGCAAAACAAAACACCTACTTGAAATTGCATCATGGGTTATGTTCTACATTCAAGACAGGTATTCTAAAAGTAGGATGCTAAGCCAGCTTGGCAAGAACAGTTAAGACAGAAGCCAGGATTTTAAAAGCTCTAGAAAAAAATCTTTTGCTGCCCCTTTTCTAGAAGTAGCCCTCAAAAAGTTTGGGGTGTGGTGGAGAGAGAAAAACCAGACTATTTTTTCTATGAACTTTTTGAAGCCCCTTGTAGTGGCCTCACTTGGCTTCCTAATACTCAATTCATACGGACATAAAGTAGCACCTTTGCCCACATACTTCTAACGTCCTGGGCTGCTCAAGAGAATTGAAATTGTTCCTCCTATCATCAACTACCAGGTATACTGGCATCAATTTTACTGAAAGCTGACCGTTTTACACATCTTTTTCCTTTTAGGAAGTGCTAAATTTAGGGAACATATGATTAATTTTATTCCATACTTTGAAAGTTTTGAGGGGTCATCGATCCATTTCTTGAAATTTAAATAATTTACTTCAAATTTCTATATAAATTATACTGTTCTTTAGGTAAAAGAGTTAAAGGTTTGAGAATTAAATGAAAGCAGTGGTAAAATCACAGAACCCAGATAAGTGAATTGACTACATACCGTTTAATAATATGTTCGAAGATGAAAGCAGGCATGATTGTGATAGTAACTACAGTCCCAGATGTTGACAGTATGTCTGCAATTTGAGAGTCCTGTTGAAAACAGAAAATTCCACTGAGACTGTACGCAGTAAGTAGAATACTATACTACACACGGAAAACACACACACACACACACACACACACACACACGAGAGGAAACCAAAAAAACACCACCTGGAATTGCACTGGGCAGAGGCGGAACTTCGTAGTACTGCTGGGTGAGTATCAAGCAACGTGCTCTGAAGTAGTGCACCCAGTGGCTTTTTTTGGTAAAAGTAGTTTCACTCAAACCTCGTTTTTTGTGATGGCTGATTTAAGAGAATGGCGTATGGCTATAAGATTTAATGTTGTGATATTGAACACAGCTTACAAGGACAGTGTTATAGGAAAAACTCAAGTATACGAGTGGTTTTCTCACTTCAAAAAATGCCAAACCTTGTTCTGGGTCAGTCAACTTCCCGAATGGACAAAATGCTGATCTATAGTGCACGTGGAATTCGGTCCACCATGACAAGACTATTAATCAAGCATTCTGTTTAGAGGTCTGAAAAGATTGGCTAATAGTATGTGACAAAAAGGCCCTGATTTGTGGCAGACCAGGGGACTGGTTTTGCCACCACAACAATCCACCTGCTCACACAGTCATCTCAGTGCACCAGTTTTTGGCAAAAAGCAGCATGCCTCTCTTGCCCCACGCAGCTGACTCATCAGACCTTGCTCCATGTGACTTGTTTCCGTAAATGCAGAGGGACTTGAAAGGACAGCGATTTGACAATGTAGAAGAGGTGATGAAAAAAACAAGGGAGGTGCTGTCAGCCATCCAAATCACGAATTTGAAAAACGTTTCCAAGAATGGAATCACAGATTTGGCAAATTTTTAAGTGTAATGGAGAGTACTTTGAAGGTGGTAAGATTGTTTTGTAAAAAAATTTAAATACATAGTCTTGAAAAATAAAATTCTGGGGTTTTTTTGGGGGGAGGGGTACCCCTTGTATTTATTTATTTAATATTTTGATAATATCTAAACTTTGAATGACAGTATTTCTAATTTTTTTCTACTTTACCTAGTTTAATTCTATTTATTAAAATCAGTTGATTTTATGCCTATAAACCAAACTGCTAAGTAAATTGTACTGGATATATCAGGCCCCCACAAAAATCACCTTTTTATTATAGAAATTTCCCTATATGTAGTACCATATCCCCTCTCTTAACTGTATTCTAAACCAAAGTTTATGAACTCAATAAGCCTTACTCTATAACTCTGGAACTAAAGAGAGCCTTGAAGAACTTCAGGGTAGGAGAAAACAAATTGCTGATATATAAACAAACTATGATTTATTTATTCCCTTCCTGCTTGTTAAGTGGCAACCAATCATTCAAAATGTAATTAAAATTTCTATAGAGATCTAGGTCAGAGCCCCCATATGTAGGCAAACTACCCACAGAATTCCACTGACTAGCCAAGAGCCCAGTAAGAGGCAAAGCAGTGCTGCCGGGCGTTTCTTTACTTAGAAGGACAATAACAAACAGTACAGCTGAAACAGTCAAGCGAAAAGGGTGTTTTTTAAAATAAAGTAGTAAAAAGGCACACCCTTTCTGTTCATTACCTTCAATCCAATGACATTCTGCCCATTGACTTCACAGATGTTATGTTCGGTGAGAAGACCATTTCTGGCTGCAGAACTATCTTTCACTATGGATGTTATTTTTCCATTTTTAAAGATAAAACCAACATGCCCAGTACTATCCTTATGCATGGTAACAGTTCGTTGAAAGGGCCTGTAAACATGAGACTTGATTAGAAACTTAATTCCAAGGTAAATATGTTATTAGGTTTCATTACACTCTAAATTTGCCTTACTGGGTATTTGGTTATAACAAATGAAGTGTTTCCAACAGGAGCAACCTGAATGTATATTCAAGAATATCTCTGTACAGCATTGTTTTTATTTTAAAATCATTATCGTTTAACTGGTTTTCTAATGAAGATTTCCTTCTTGGGATAACAAACACAAAACAGTTCTCTAAACAGTTTATCAAAATGTTTCCTCTTTTTCATTTTTGTGGGATTTAGCATTAAGAATGAGGCTTTAAACAAAAATCACAAAGTCAAAAATCTCAGAAAACCCTATATTAGGATAGCTCTGGGTTGGAATTAACTCAATAGCAGGGGGTTTGTTTTCCCTGCATTGTTTTTAGAAACTACTTCTTTAAGTACTGGATGAATATGGTCTCTTACTACGATTTTAATTTTATGGCTGTATTTTAAAGAAGAACTGCAAAGGGATTATAAAGAGGTTTCAACAAGATGGTGGGAATATGGAATTAAAGCTAATAGAATTTGCCCATAAACGTTTTAAAGCCTAACTGTGACTTAAAAGAGTTCTTTTTGCCTCTTTTTGGAAAGACATATATTCTAACAATTACTCAAAAAAGGCCAATTGATTATTAAATCTGTTAACTTGCTCACTTATCTACAAATCTCCTACCATGTGATAATAGGGGCTTTATGATAAACTTGTCTTTACATGGTATAATTCAGAACAACTCTGTCTTCTTGTTCCAATCCAAATTAATGTTTGAACTTTTGCTTTGATATAAAATAGAAACCGCTTTGTGCTGTTCCTTTCTACTCAGGAAGCAAGGCTGGAAGAGACCCAATTTTATAAAAATTTGGTGGATTAGAATGGGGAAACTTTAGATAAAAGTTTTGCTCAAACAGCCCGCTGTCCTCCCCTAGAAATTCTTAGAAAGCAAGAGCAGCATTGACAATGCATAGCAACCAACTTGCCAAAGGATTCTGAGCAGAACCGGAAACAACCGTGGCCCAGCAGACAGTGCTGTTTTGAATGTCCATCACTCCCCACTGTCCTATCTGCTAATAATCCAATCTGCCACATCAAGGTCTGGAAGAGCTCACTATACCTCTTCCAAACTTCCCATTCCAGGTTTTAACCCATAATTTATCATCCCAGAGGTGTCACATTTAAAATATTTGGATTTGTTCTGGTTTTGTTTTACTAGCTATAACTGAACCAGTTTGAACCAGTTTTTAACCCTTACAGTGAAAATGACATTCATCTATAAAATATTTACCATGTCTTAGAAATTTTTATGATACTGCATACTATCAAAGATGAATAAAACAACTTTAGACTAGTACATCCTGTTAAACACCCCAAAGCTAATTAAGCAATGATAGGTTCCCCCTCTACCACGTTACCACTTGTGGGGGCCATAGCAAGAAAATAAACGTTAGTCCATCTACGTGCTAAATGTTTAAAAGTCATAAACACCAACTGGTAAATAAAAGGATGTACTTACTCTCCTACCGTGATAACTACAGCTTCATCACCGCCCAAAGGGTCACGGTGACTTTTAAGGAGTCTTGGACTATTTGGAGTTCTGTGCTGATTGAGCCCTTACACACGTGTGTACAATTTATCAGGTATGTTAAGCAGTCCACTGGAAAGTGAACTTCAGACACTAGGCTACTGAATGATTTCTCCAACAGAATTTCTCTTTTCTAGAAATGTATTTAGAGGACACATTCCTATAAGCTGTGAAAAGAGGTGTACATCGCAATCACAGAATGCTGTTAAAAATCAAATCATGTCAGAAAAATCTGTACCAAACAATTCCAAGAATATAGGACTAATAGCATTTCAATTAGAATTATTTAATGACTGTGAGCCTTGGTAGCGTATTGGGTTACACTTTGTGATGCTAACTGGAAGGTCAGCAGTTCAAAACCACTGGTTGTTCCAGGGGAAAAAGCTGAGGCTGTCTACTCCCGTAAAGATTTACAGTCTTGAAAACCCACAAGGGTAGTTCTACCCTGTCCTTAGAATTGCTACGCGTTGCAACCAACTTGATTGCAATGAATTTGGTTTTGAGTGAGCTTACCTATCACGAATAGTCATGGTAATCTTCTCTCCAAATGCCTGTTTGAGTACTTTGTGTGCTTTTTCTGAGTTCCAGCCAGCACAGTTTTCACCATTAATCTGGAGTACTTGGTCTCCAAATTTAAGGCCAACCAAAGATGATGGAGAATTAGCCTGGACCAACTGCACAAATACACCCTAGGAATAAGAAAATAACTAGTCATTTACCACTGGTACATGATATAGTTAAAAATGCTGGAAATTAGAACTGAACCGTTAGAAATCTACTCTTTTAAAATAAATTATGAGCACAGTGAGTCAAGTTACCCCTTAAAGAAGTTGAAAAGTTTGTGAGGGATAGAATTCTAGAAATCAAGGCAAAAAATAAAGTTTGGGTGGTAATTTCTACTGCAAGTCATTGACACACCTGACCGAGCCTCAGCCACCTTTTCCTCTTAAAGATGAGTGAAGATGAAGAACTATAGTAGATAAACTTATATGAATCAAATAGAATACCAAATCGGTATAACAAATCATCATTATCAGAGACAGAAAAATTTAAGTGCTACAAACCTGATTTCTTTTACAGCATGTAATAGTGGAAGTTTAAGGCCATTCATTAAAATTGAAGGATCCCTTTATTCATGTGCCAATGAAAAACATAATCTAATAACATCAGGATTATAATTTGTTTTTCATCAGTCTTTAACAAAGATGAGTGTAAGAATTTTAGTCAAGTATTACTTCACCATCCATTAAGTCAAACTGTAGACTTACAACTTGGTCTTGCCTATAAAGTAGTCAGATGCTAATATTTCTACTTTTTTAAATACTGGACACAGTGTGGTAAGAGAATAGCATGGTTTCCTATTTCCTATATGAGTATTTTGTAAAAATTGTAGGAGAAATATTTGACAGATTGGGTTTTAAAAGTTTAAGCATTTGTCACTATAGATAAAATAATACAAACATTTAAAAAGTAAGATAAAATCTACTTAAAAGCCTAAAATTATGAGATACTTAACAACACTCCAGTTCTTATAAAGAAATTGTTATAAGACACAGAAGAAAACTAAGGTACTAAAAACCAAATCCAAATATCTCATCCCGGACAGAATAAGGAGAAAAATGTGGAACAAAACTCAAAATCACTGGAAAAAAACCCAAAAAACCAAGCGGACTGGTCTGACGGAGACTGATGGAATGCCAAGAATATGGATCCCTTAGTCCCTACTGAGGCCTGGAATTGAACTCTCTCCCATGACTCAGTTTTTTAGTCTCTAGGGTGAATAATAACACCCAGGAAGTGTTCGATCCACCATGTGAGAGATCAAAATAGCCGCATTTGTTAAGGGCTACAGCTCAGAAGGCCAGAATGGACAGGGAAGGAGCAAATGGAAATAAACATGAGAAGGAAGTGGGAAGAGTGCTATTGTGGGGACTGCAATCAAGGTCATGAAGCAAAATGCATGAATTGTTGAATGGAAAAATCAATGTGTTCTGTAAACTTTGTCTCAAATCACAATAAAAAGCAAAATCAAATAAAGACCCAATCCTGGCAAAGAGCAGCATTGTACTCTCAGCCCCTCAAGAAGAAGAGAATAGTTAAGTTAGAGCTTCCAAGTTCAACTGATAGATGAGTTTTGTTCAAGTTATACATAGACTAACTGCCTTTCATTTTTATCACAATGCGAAGATTGAGGCTGACACAATTCCATTATACAATGTTATTACAATAGAATAATTTCCACAGATGAGTGAACTTTATTCAAGAAAAACTACTCTCAAAAAAGGGAAAACATAGTTCAACTCTGCAACCTTAAAACATGGTACCTAAAAATGGATTACCTGAATAGACTTTAAAATAGTCTCAATAGATCCATCATTATTAGGGAATTCCAAATGAAATTTCCAAATGTGAAAACATTAATCATTAATTAAACATTACTCATTCATTAATTAATTAGTCATACAAACTATTAGACAACTTTAAATCCATTTAAAAAAACTTACATTATCTACTGATTTCAGCCTGAGGCCAATTTTTCCTTCTTGATCTTTACACAATATAACTTCACGAATCCCTTGCTTAATTTCTGCTCTTCGAATTCCAACATCATTACCAGTTATAGGAGCCACCATATGATTCATACTAGAAGGTCTTACTACCAACTGTTAACAAAAATGTACAATATATCAACATTTAAAGACACTCCATCAAAAAAGGTTACAATCATAATTCAAAGTAGTTTAGGCTTTCCAAAATGTATTCTGTAACATTTTGCGTTTAATTTGTATAAAAATAAAATGGCATTAGTGATTCATATTTTATAAGCCCCATATTTATCAGCACCAATAGACAATGTCTTCCTCTTGAACAAACTGGCATGTCTTCAATACAAATGAATTATTCTTAAATTTTGTAGGTCCGTCATAAGATCATTTTGGAACTGACACAACATCTGACAGAGTGTTCTGTCATACGGTATGAGACTTTCAGTCTCTATAAGTACCTCACGGTGCTGGGGACATAGTAGTCACACATTGGGCTGCTAACTGCTAGGTTAGTAGTGAGAAACCGCCAGCTGCTCCAAGGGAGAAAGGGGCTTTCTACTCCTGTAAAGAGTCATAGTCCTGAGAAACCACAGGGGCAGTTCCTACACTGTCCTATAGGGTCACTATGATGGTTCGATGGCACTGAATTTCGAATTTGGAAAGTGTAACTGTAAGGCTAAAAGAGAGTTGTACATTATATGGGTCCTGGTACACATAAAATGGTCAAATATTATTTCTTTTCTCCTTAAATAAACATCTATGGATTAACTTCCACAGAAAGCTATACTAAAAATTATGTAATTAACTTGCTAGTTTATCCACTAGATATTCCACACTTTCTTTGGTCTGCAACAGTACTTCTTTTTTTTTTTTTTTTCAAATGAATAGCGAGGTGGTCTATAACTTCATTCGGAAGCATCTGAATTTCAGAGCTCGTTAATACCTTTTTATTTTACTTATATTTTATAATCAAATTGGATTTTTTTTTAATTGAATTTATTTTTGTTGCTGGTGAATTTTTAAAAGCTTCCCAAGTGAATTTTTCATTTCACATATTGCATTTTTCTCCTCTAGTTTACCTAGTTACTTTAATATCTTCTCTCCTCATTCATAGTTTCATGTAAATCCTTGAGCTCATTTATAGTAGTTGTTTTAAAACTTCATGTCTACTACTTGCATAACAGAGGCAGTTCTAGTCTGTCCTACAGCCTTACTGTGAGTCAAAATCTATTTGACAGCAATAAGTTTGGTTTGGGTATTTTGATCTGCCATTTGGGAATCTCTTTCCAAGGACGGACTGTCCTCCTGGTCACTTTCCTGATGCTTCTTCACCTACCACGTTTTTATTTTTATTTTTAAGTGTTGTTCCTTTCACTGACACTCTAGAACCAACCTTGCTGCAAATTCTTAGATATGCCAGCCTCAGCCCACAATTCTTCTTCCGCCGTCCCAGTTCTTTACCCAGCCTCCTAGATTCTGATAAACCCGCCCCCTTTCCTGCGCTGCCCTAAGCCCTAAAAGACGTAGCTATTTTCTGCTATCACATGTAACCCAGCTTTCCATTCTTCCTTTTATTCTGCAACCTCTTCATGTATATAAATTCTCATATCAAATTATCTTTGTTGAAAGACCTATAGCGATTCTTTTTTCCTAACTCAACACTATTATAAACAAGTTCTCAATATATATTTATTAGATATATGAGTGAAATCATGCACTGTACTAAGCACTGGGTTGTAGCAACAAGGCATGTAACTTTGCCCTTTGCAGTCTAACAGACAATAGATACTGAAATAATTGCACAGGTATTATCTCTAATTATGGTAAGTACTATAAGCACTATTTAGTAATGATTTTGTAATAATAAGGTTTCAGGTAAGTAAAATTTAGGTCTAAATTCTGAGATCTATTACAAAAGCATTATATTTTCATACAGAATGCTAAAAGCTTCTGAGCAAAGTAGAGATATGACCAGTACTCAGGATAACTCATCAACCAGCAGCTTAGCACTATTAGATATAATAATCAAAATGTGAAATACAGAAGCTATGCTAGTCCGTGTAGACTAGAGAAACAAATCCAGGGAGATTCACACGTGTGTAAGAGAGAACTTTATATCAAAAAGCAATTGTATATTAAGAAACATAAATAAATCTGATATTAGCCCATATGTCAGATACTAGTTCATAAATTCCTCTTCAGGCTCACGCAACACATGCAATGATGCCTAATGCAGGGAGATCACAAGCCAATGGGAAGATCATAAGTCTTGTGGATCCAGTGGCAACAGAAGCTTCTCAAGGGCTCTGGCTGGCATCAGAGTGCCTCCTTGTGGCTTGTCAACAGGAAGGTGAAGCAGAGAGAGTGTGTCCTGCCTCCAGAGAGGAAAGCAGGAGTTCCCAGAAGCCTCATTGGCTATGACCTGATTGACAGGCTAGACTCCACCCCTTCACTTAAACTGACATACAAGAAATATGACCCGAACAGAATCACTAAGGCTTACCAAAATCCACTGTCATCAAGACGATTCATAGCAACCCTATCTACAGAGTTAATGAAACAGCAAATATTTATAGGAGCAGATATCATCTTTCTCTCACAGAGCAGCAGGTAGGTTTGAACCACTAACCTTAGGAATGAGGCTAATGCCTAACCCACAGCACTACCAGTAAGTAGTCTCAGTCCTTCAATAAGTCTTAGTAACACTAAATGTAGGTGACAAAGACAAGCAGATTAGTTTAAGACATTTAAAGTCTTAACTCCTAACTAGAGCAGTGAGTGATATTAGCACAAAAGTAGACTAGCATTTAAAAAATTATACCTAAAATAAAGTCTAAAATGTCTGAAAAGTCAATGCTAAAGTTATAGATTTGTTAAGTTAATCACAACACAGACACTTAGGTATTTTATATAACTCAATAGTAATCACACTGTACATACATACCCCTTGCACTGGTGCTCCAGGGACCATGGCCATGTTTGTGCATATTTCTTCTTCATTTAGACTCAGACCCATGTACTGACTGAGCTCTGGATACAGTTTAGGATATAGATCTAATACAAATAAATGCATGCATGCATAAGACATTGGCAGAATCTACACACACATAAATCCTCTTATTGGTATATACTTCTACTTACATTAAAAACCACAGAGATTGAATTATATATTAGTATTATACCCTAATAAAAATGTTTAGTAAAAAAACCCACTTAGGTTTTTCTGTTTCTGTTGTTGGGAGGTTTTCCTTTTTTTTTTAAATTCATTTTATTGGGGCTCGTACAACTCTTATCACAATCCATACACACATCCATGTGTCAACCACATTTGTACGTTTGTTGCCATCATCATTTTCAAAACATTTTCTTTCTACTTGAGCCCTTGGTATCTGCTCCTCTCTCTTTTTTTTAAATAAAATGAAGTATAGCAATGGGCCCATCGCCATGGAATCCACTGCTCATATCATGTTCCTCATCACCCTAAAGCAGATGGCTTGATAGAACGATGGAATGACCTCCTAAAGACACACTTACGGTGCCAGCTAGGTGGCACCATCTTGTGGAGGTGGGGCAATGTTCTCCAGAAGGCAATATATGCTCTAAGCCAGAGGCCAAGGGCAAAGGTAGTACAGAATGGGTAGTGGAAGAAGGTAGTTCTACCAATCAGTTACGACCACATGATCAATTGCAAAGACTGGTTGTGACTGTCAGTATTTCTTCTTTATATGTACTTACTATCTTTCCTTTGTTAATGTACAATATACCAGATACAATCAGATTCAGTATGTTTTCATTTATATGTATGATAGATGTATGTTAGGTATAAGTGTGATTTCATTAATATGTGAAAATTATATATGGCTAAAGAATTGTGTACACGTGTCAGCTTGGCAAGGGGGAGGACTGCAATGTTAGATTTATTGTCCCAACTAGGCCAATAGGAACATGTGGGTGTAGATTAATCAGGTCACAACTTGGAGGGCAATGAGATAAATGGCTCTGCAAGACCTGCCCCTTCTCTCTTGCTCCCTAGTGATAAGACAGTGTGCTGTACTACCTGTGAGTCAAATCAAACCATGGGTCGTGTTGCTAGAGCTTGAGCTTGAGGCTCCGAGACCTGCCTCCCCACACTGCTGGTGCATACATCACTTGAGCTTGAGGCTCCTTCGAGACCTGCCTCCCCACACTGCTGGTGCATACATCACTTGAGCTTGAGGCTGGTGGATCCTGTTCCTGTATAGCTTGAGATCAAGATCCCATCAAGGCCTGCTTCACTAAGCTCCTGTGTTACTGACTGTTGCTGACCCACCCTGCTGTCTGCTGCCTGCTTCTCTGACCTTGGACCTGGCAGCCCACCCCATATGAGCTGAAAGACTCCCAGTATATTAACTGTTCCACAAAAGTGAGTTGAACTGAGTCCTCTGTACTGCTGTGTGGACTAATTAGGTGTTACATTCCTTCAAACTGTATAAACCTATCCTCTTTTATATACACATATATGTATGTATACACACACACACACACACACACATATATATATAAATAAATAAAATCCTAGGTGTCCTGGTTTTGTTTCCCTAGAGAACCCTGAAAACAGTATGGTTTTCTTTATATGAAATCCAGGATAGGTTGGGGAAAATGGAGAGCTAACAATAATGAGTCAAGAATGTAGAAAATGGCAGACCCGCGTGTGGCCCAGGCAAGGACCCTGAAAATAAGCAGCCTCTACCTTGAGAGCCACTTTCACCAGGGCTGCGTCCGAGCGCCCTCTGTGGCGGACACACTCAGACGCAAAGGAACCCTAACTGCAGTCATGAGCAGCACCAAATGCTTCAAGTGTGGGCGCTCTGGCCAGTGGGCCCGGGAATGTCCTGCTGGAGGAGGCCGTGGTCGTGGAATGAGAAGCCGTGGCAGAGGTTTCCAGTTTGTTTCCTCTTCTCTTCCAGACCTTTGTTATCATTGTGGTGAGTCTGGTCACCTTGCCAAGGATTGTGATCTTCAGGAGGATGAAGCCTGCTCTAACTGCGATAGAGGTGGTCACATTGCCAAGGACTGCAAGGAGCCCGAGCGAGAGAGCGAGCGCAGTGTTGCTACAACTGTGGCAAACCAGGCCATCTGGTCGTCACAGGGACCACGCAGATGAGAAGCGCTGCTCCCGTGGAGACTTTGGACACATTCAAAAAGACTACACCAAAGTGAAGTGCTCCAGGTGCGGTGAGACTGGTCGGGTAGCCAGCAACTGCAGCAAGACAAGTGAAGTCAAGTCTACCGCCGTGGTGAATCAGGGCACCTTGCACAGGAATGCACAACTGAGACTTCAGCTTCATTATTTTCCTTTGTCGCCCCTTCTTTTTCTGATGGCTGGTTGTGGTCTTTTCTCTGAATCCTCTTTACTGGCCAAAGGTTGGCAGATTAGAGGCTACTCCCAGGCCAGTGTAAAAGGAGGAATGTAAAAGGAGGAAAGGAGTGGGGGAAAAAAATCTACTTTCTGCATTTAACTACAAAAAAAGTGTATATTTGGCTTGGTAGAAGTGTTATGTATAATGCTTTGTTAAAGAACCCCTTTTCTGTACCACTGGTGAAGAAGGGATTAATGAATAGGAAAGAGTCAGCCCATTAGGCCCATTCTGGGTCTCTTGAGATGTTCCCATGTAGGAGATAAAACCAATTTTGGAAGTGTCTATGAACTTCTGTATGTAAATGTAATTTTAGCATTATGACGGCCTTGGATTGTAGACCTCAGTAGCTGTAACATCATGCAACATCTGCATCAGGCCCTATATAGAACATACAGTTGAGTGGGAGTAAACAAAGAAAAACAAGACTGTGCACAAGAGAACCCAGGATAAAAGTCTACACAGGAACAGCTTCATCACAGAGTTGATGCCGAGTAATCATACACATGTGATGACAAAGGTAGAACACATTTTTTCCCTCAAAGTCTTAAAATTAAAGCCCACGGTAAACATCGATACTCAGAGTTAGCACAATTTGGAGCTTGTTCAGGAATTGCAAAGAAATGCATTTTCACAGAAATCAACATGTTATTTTTTTATCCTGTATCACTTAGACAACTGTGCTTCATTTACTGTAATCAGTTTTTAAATGTCAGATGGAAAAAGCAACTGAAGTCCTAGAAAATAGAATGTAATTTTAAGCTATACAATAAAGCTGGAGGAGGAAAGGGAGGAAAAAAAAGAATGTAGAAAATTTGCTAAAATAGATTATGATGATGATTGTACAAATATTTAAAATATATTTAAACTACTGCATTGTTTGGTATGTGAATTATATGCCAATAAAAGTTTTAATAAA